CACACACACACACACACACACACACACACACACACACACACACACACGTTGTCTCCTCTGGCTAGATTACAAGATCCTTAAGGGCAAGGTTGGTTTTCATTTTGTATTCCCAGCATATAGGGCAGTGCCTGGAACATAGTAGGTGCTTAATAGATGCTGGTCACCTGATCTGTATGGGGGGGTGGAGGGCAGATATAGCAGTCAATCCTCCACAGGAAGTCAGAAAACATTCCGTCACTTTCAAAATGCTATTAAACAAATTTGAGTCGTATCTTACTCGTGTTGTTTGTATTGGCACCCTCTATCCACTTTTCCATCTCTTCAGGTGCATTGGCCTTTATCAGCAAACTCTCCTGCTTGACTTGGAGGCAGGGGAACATTGAGTATCTCTCGGTGCCCTTGAGAAACAGCTCAGCTGGCCCAGCCTTAAGCAGGGAGCAAATACACCTATGAACCAATGAGGAGGTTTGCCCACACACTTAGGGATGGGGGCCCTGCCAGCCGCAAGCCAGGCATTTCCCCTCCCACCCCCCTGAGCATGGCTGCCATGGAAAGAGCCCTGGATCTGCTCACTGCAGTCCAGGGCACTTGACATCAGTTGAAGCTGTTGCCCCCACTGAGAAGACCATTGATCCACTAAAGCACCTAATAATTTATTGACTATCACAGGATTCCAGATTTAGAAAACGAAGAAAGATACCTTAGAAGTCTTCTAATCCAACGCCCTTATCTGACAGAGAAAGAAATTGAGGCCCACAGAGTTGAAGTGATTTGCCCAAGGTCACATGGGTAGAGTCAAAGTGAAATCTGAACCCAGGTCCTCAGTGTCCAAATCTATACTTTGTCATTGTCATTTAAAGCTAGAAGGGACTTCCCAGGGTCATATGTTTGGACTGTAAAGAAAATGTTTGGAGGGTGGACAGGAAGGAAGGGTGGAACTGATGCTTTCATCACACTGCCCCATCAGAGTGGCATCTACCAGCTATTTGACCCTGGACAATTTCAACTTCCCCAAGCCTCAGTTTCCTCATCTGTCAGATAGGGGTAGTCATCTCTTTCTGGAAGGCTTTGGACTATAGTAGAACAGCATACTTGGCTGGGAGTCCAGAAACCTGCCTCTGCCACTAACTATCTGTGTGATATTGAGCAAGTCCTTTGCTGTTTCTGGCCTCCATTCCCCCTTAAGTAAAGAGAGGAGGTTGGACAAAATAATGTGTGGGCAACCTAACTCACCTCACAGGAGAGTGGTGAGAACCAGATAGACAATGGATAGGAAAGTACTCGATTTTTTTCATTTACTTTATTCTTTCTCGTGTTTTTTTTTTCCCTTTGTGATCTGCTTCTTCTTCCACAACTGTGATGAATGTGGAAATATGTTTTACGTGACAGCACATGTATAAACTATATCAAACTGCCTACCATTTTCAGAAAAGGGGAGGGGAGGTAAGGAGGGAGAAAAATTCTGAAATCAAAGTCTTATAAAAATGAATGCTAAAAATTTTCTTGATATGTAATTGGGGAAAAAAATAAAATACTATTTAAAGAAAAAAAAAGTAAAGTACTTGACAGGAAAATTATGTCAAATGTGGGAGCCCTCACAAGTAGAGGATAATGCTGAGTACAAAGAATGAGCTGCTAATGGTGAAATCCCAGGTACTTCAATGGGGCTTCCAGAACACCCCAGATCATACCTCTGGCCCAGTGATTAGCCTGGATCTGGCTTCAGGCTGTGGCAGGGTTCAGAGGGGAAACCTGTAGGAACATGGAGGTTCATGACCCATGATGCTTCCTCCTCAGCTCTATAATCCCCACATCCTCTTGGTGTTCCCCAGAGAATAGCAACAAAGCCAGGAAGTCCAAGATGGCCACTGGCCATCCTTCCCCCTCTACCTTAACAGGCTAGGGGCCAAATCCCAGGGTCCAGCAGTTTTAACTATTTACCAGAAGCAAATACATCTTAATCTGCACTTTGGAACCATCTTTCAGCTTCCTTACTTGCATAATCAACAAGCAAAGGTTGTGTGCTCCTGTCTGAACATGACTGACTTACCGCTCCTCCTGATCATTTGCTGTTCAGGATATCTTTTTGGTGCTGAAGGCACAGGTTAGTGTCTTGTTCAATTTCTTTTGGCCACAGGTATAAATGAACAGCTAGGGGTCCTTCCTGCTATTTGGTTAGGATGCCAGAGTCAGCCAATGAGACTAAAAATCCACTGAGGTCACACATGGCTTGGTAGGTTCTAGCTTCTCTTGTTGAAAGGGCTCTGTTATTCATTCATTTATATCAATTCTGATCATCCAGAAAATTTCATGATTCTCTTAGATGCTATACATTTCATGGATTGCTTAAGCTAGAGTAGGCCTTAAAAATCATCTAGCCAAAGTCTATTAAGTGACAGACATAGAAACTGAGGCCCAGGGAGGGGGAGGTCAGGGTGTAGTAGAAAGAGTATTAGATTGGAAGTCAGAATTCCTGGGGTCGAGTCCTAGCTTTGTCACTGCCTTCTTGTATGACCTTAGGTAACTCCCATTTCCTCTCTGGGCCTCAGTTTCTACCTTTGTCAAATAAGGGGGTTAGATTAGGTGATCTCTAAGGCTCCTTCCAGCTCAAACATTCCAGGATTCTGAGACTTGCCTTAGGACTCCAGACTTCAGGTCTAATACTCTTTACACTAGGCCCATGTAGACTCTCTCTTTTGGTTAGGCTTGGGCCTTGGAAACAAGATGCCCCTTACCTTCATTAATTCAATTCAATAAACAAGTATTAATCACCTACTACTGTGCCAGGCACTGTGCTAAATGCTAGGGAAAATCCTTGCCTTCAAGGAGCTTACAATACAATACAATACAATACCTGTCATCTCCTGAATAGAATAGGATTGTTTTGTTGTTCGGACATTTTTCAATGTGTCTGACTCTTCATGACCCCATTTGGGTTTTTGGTTTTTTTGGGGCAAAGATATTGGAGTGGTTTGCCACCTCCTTTTCCAATCCCCCTTCCCCTATTATGGATTTATTTTACTTTACTTATCTGAATACCAGCTGTTTTCCTCCAGTAAAGGGCAGAGACCACTGTGTTTTTGTCTTTGTATCCCCAGTGCCTAGCAAAGCACCTGGTACGTTGTAGATAGTTTGACAAATATGTGTTGAATTGAACTGAACCTTACAGATGAGGAAACCAAGGGTCAGAGGTAGAAAGACTTGCTCAAGATCCCACAACTAGTAAGTGTCAGAAGCGAGATTGGAACCAGTTCTTCCTGACTCCAAGCCCAGCAAGCCATCTATCACTAGGCCACGGTGTTTCTCCTACACTGTCCTTTCCAAACAGCCAGGTGAAGCCAGAGCCACCATGCCAACTTGCTATCTACTGTTTACGGACAAACCTCTCCACCTTTCAAAGTTAGCCAAGGTATTTGAAAGGCGAACAGCTCGGCAAGGTCTAATTGCCTGCTACTATTTTAAGGATCTATCTTTTTCAGTTGAAGTTTGCAGGTTGCAGTTTGGCCATTTAATTTTTCATTAGAACATTGGGATTTATCAGCAAATCCTATCGCCACTGTCACAGCCAGAAAGAAAGGGTTTTTATTTGTCTCTAAGCTCTTGGAGTTGATATTTTAGGACTCTTTGTACTCAATCGAGATCTCTAGGGGAGGGAAGCGAGCCTGAGAACTTACTTAGGAGTTGGACTATATTTTCACCACGACATTGACAAGCTGAAGTATGTCCAGGGCAGGGTACTCAAGACCTTAAGGAAGAGAATTGAAGTTGTATTATTCAAGAACTTGGTGGAAAGGACCACAGGCTTGGAGTCAATCCCATTCAAAAAACAATTATTAAGGGCAGCTAGGTGGCACCGTGGATAGAGCACCAACCCTGGATTCAGGAGGACCTGAGTTCAAATTGGGCCTCAGACACTTGACACTAACTAGCTGTGTGACCCTGGGCAAGTCACTTAAACCCATTGCCTAGCCAAAAGAAAAAAAAAACTATTAAGCATCTATTTCATTTCAGCAACTTAGTGCTAGAGGGAACCTTATGGGGCTTCTAGTTCAAGCCCCTCATTTTATAGATGTGGAAACTGAGGCCTAGAGAGGGGAAGTGACTTGAATAACATTCCTACCACACACAGCAGGTAAGGGAGCCAGGATTCTAGCCCAGGTCTTCTAATTTTAATCCATCACTCTTTTCCACCAGGCACTAGAGAGAAAAAGACAAGATGAAAATCAGTCCTTGCCTTCAAGGGGCTTACATACTACTAAGGGATACTACCTGGTTGCATATTAATAAGTGTCGGATAGTTTGAGAAGGGAGATGGTACTAACAACAGGGGGAATCATGGAAGGCTTCCTAGAGGAGGGGGCAGTTGAGTGGACGCTCAACTGAAGGAAGCTAGGGAGTCTAAGAAGTGGAGACAGATGAGGAGTGAATGCCTTCCAGGCTTCTGGGCTAGCCAACGCAAAGACACGAAGGTTGGGGACAATAGACTTACCGAATGAGTATTCATTTTTTCAGCCTCTTATTTTTATTCTCTGTATATCTCTTATTTTTATATGTGATTCTCCTTGAGTAACAGACTGTGGGGTTTAGTCTGGTGGTGGAGACAAAATGCCAACTTTGCGGACGTTAGCAGGTGAGGCTGGAACACGGAGTTCAAGAAAAGGGAAAAAGGGAAGTCTGGAACAATACGCTGGATTCTCCAAGGAGGGCTTTAAGTATTATGCTAAGGAATTTGTATTTTACCCTAGAGAAAGGAGGGAGTGACCAAAGATGTTTAATTAGGGGAGCAGCATATTCAGATTTGTGGCTTAGCAAGATGATTTTAGTAGCTATGCCGAGGATGGATTGGTGAAAGGAAAGGGTGAAAATGGTAATCCACATAAAAGGCTATTGCATCAGTCTAGGTTAAAAGTGAAGAGAACTAAATCTAAGCTGGATCGAAGGGGAGGAATGAGAAAGATGTTGTGAAGGTAGACTAGACACGACTGTGCAACTAATTGGAAATGGATGGAAGAGAGCCAAGACTTGAGGATGGTGACTGGAAGGACTGTGGTACCCTTAACAGAAACGGGGATGTTTGGAGAAGAGGCAGGTTTAAGGGGGAAAACAATGAGTTACATTTTAGTTGGGCTGAGTGCGAGATGTCTTCAGGTGGAACTGTCTAGTAGTCAGCTGATGATGATGGATAAGTGATGAGGAGAGAGATTAGGGCTGGATAAGGAACTTCAGAAGCCACCTCAATAGAAAAGATTGCTGAACTAATGAGAGTTTATGGGCGGAGAGGGGAGAAAGAAGAGGAAGATGATGATGATGAAGGTGAAGAAGGGAGCCCAACATAAAGCCTTGGGGACATGGACAGTGGTAGATGGGATGTGGTTGATAATCCAGGAAAAGAGATTGAGAAGGAAGGGGCAGACAAATAAGAGAAGAATCAGGAAAGAGAAGTAGTGTCATAAAACCCAAGGGACAACAGGAAGAAGGAAGTGGTTAACAGGATAAAAAGTTGTAGAGAGGTCAAGAATAGAAGGGCTTGGGGAAGGGCAGTCATATTTAGCAGGTAATCTTAGAAGCAAAGTTTCAGTTAAATGGAGGGTTTCTGGGGATCAATAAAATGAGTAGAAAGGGAGGAAGAAGAGACAATGGGAGTCAGTAAAACTGGGGTTGTTTAGTCTGGAGAAAAGAAAACTAAGAGTCATGGTGGTTGTTCAGTCATTTTTCAGTGGTATATGACTCTTTGTGACTCAATGTGAGGTTTCCTTGGCAAAGATACTGGAGGGGTTTGCCATTTCCTTCTCCAGCTCATTTTATAGATGAGGAAACTGAGGCAAATAGGGTGAAGTGACTTGCCCAGGGTCACACAGCTAGATTTGAATTCAGGGCTTCCTTACTCCAGGCCTGGTGATCTATCCACTGTAGTACCACCTAGCTGTTCCAAGAGTCATGAAAATTGTAATCAAAGATTACTGAGGATTGTCTTACAAGGAATTACATTTATTAATAAAGGTATTATTACACTTATTCTGGTTGGCAGAAGTAGGGCAAAGGGATGGAAATTCTAGAGAAGTGGATGTCAGTCCAGTATATCAATGAAATACCTTAGCCATTCAAAATGGAACAAATATTGTTGAGATAGGGCAGCTAGTTGGCACAGTGAATAGAGTGCCACGTCTGGAGTTGGGAAGACTAGCTGTATGACCCTGGGCAAGTCATTTCACCCCATTTGCCTCAGTTTTCTTATCTGTAAAAATGAGCTGAAGGAAATGGCAAACTACTCTAGCATCCTTGGCAAGGAAACCCTAAATGCGGTCACAGAGACTCAGACACAACTGAGATGACTGAACAAAAATCTTGTGAGGTAGAGAGTTCCCTGTCACTGGAGAGCTTCAAGAGCAGGCCAGTTGCTGAGGATTTTGTAAAGGCAATTCATGCGCAAGGTAGTAGTTAAGACAAGGTGACCTTTGCAATACCTTCCAGCTACAGCATTGTATTATTCTATGATACCTTCTTTTCTATGAACGACTGATTAAGCTTCTATTTCTGTGGATGTTAGATTTAAATATCGCTGCATCAAATTGAAATGTTGAAATTGATACAGTAAGCCTAATCACCACATTTTATTCTGAGAGATGTACAAACTGCACTTATGGTAGTAAGGGTCCCACAACCTCGGACATTGGCCTGCCCAAAAGAATAGGAAGGGACGCTGGTGATGTCAAAGATGCAGCTGTCGCTGAGATTCCTGGGCAGAGTTTTCACTAGCCAGACTCTGGTGGATTTTTGTGCCTAAGACCTCAAGCATCTTATATCCCAATGTACAACAATACCATCTTTTCCCCAGAGAGGTATACAGCAAGCACATAGAAAACACCAACAGAGATACTGAGGGAGAGCCACTCAGGTAATGAAACCGCAGAGCTTCCATTTCCACCCCAACAAGGCATCATCTAGCACTCACATTCTCCTACATTCTAAAACATACGGCTCAATTCCCAACGAGCCAGACTAAAATGAGGCCAGAAGCCCAGGCTCTCCCTGCTTTCATCTTCTTCCAGGCAGCCTTGGGAGGGAGAGATACCCGCTACCCTCCTTTGGGCTATTGTAAGAGGCAACTTCCTTCCTCTTCTACAGATCAACTGCCCCACTTTGTGAATTGTGACAACGGCTAGAGTTCATATAAGGAATCCCCCAAATGCCTTGGAAAGTTCGCCTGATGGGCTACTAGCCTTTTCAGGTGCTTTATTCTCTTGAAGAACTAGAGTCTCACCTCCAGGCATCTTCTAGAGTTCAAGATGTTAATTATATGAATTTTAAACTATCCACGTCCTCTCTGGGTACAGTCCTTCTCTGATGCTTCACTGGGATGTGTTGGGGGAGGGGGCTGGCTTCTCAAAGTAGAGAATAAGCTTGGGTTTGCCATTCTGAAAAGGCTTCCAGTATGATCCCAGGGATGCCAGTGGACTATATGTCTTTCATTTGGGGATCAAATCAATTCCACAAGCATTTATTAAGCACCTACTATGTACCAGGCACCTTGCAAGGTACTGGGTGGGGGGAGAGAAAAAGAAAACAGTCTCTCCCCTCAGGAAGCTGACATTCTCCTAGGGAGAAATCAAGACATCCACACATAAGCCATTACAGAATAATGCAAAATACAACAAATTAATTGTGGGAGAAAAGATTCCAAGAGGTAGAGATGAGAAGAGAGATCATTTCAGGCAAGGATAAAGCCTGTGCAAAGGCAGGGAGGTGGGAGATGAGGTGGAGTCAGTGAGGAACAACAAGTAATCCAGCTTGGCTAAAACAAACATCATCATGTGAACAGGAATAAGATTCTGGAGTAAGGTTCTGGAAAGATGGGTTGGAGCCAGACTGTGAAGGGCTTTAAATGCCAACCAGAGGAATTTTTACTTTATCCTAACAGCAAAAGGGAGCTACAAATGTTTGCTGAGTGTGGAAGTAGTATGGTCAGATCTGTGTTAGTGAAATATCAGTTAGGTAACTGCATGAAGGATGAATTGGGAAGAGGCCCAATCCACCCTCACTGAGGCCTATCCCCAGAGGACTGACCAGTAGATAATGAATGGTTTCAGCCACAGCAACTCATGCATTCCATTTACTAAGAAGATCACAGTCTGGCTCTGTAGCAATAGCACCCACAGCCAAGAAATCTTTGTGCCTCAATGTCTCAACATCTGTTCGAGTTCCTTAACTAAGACCAAAGGGAGCTCAACCCTCCAAAGTCATCAAAATATAAATAGTTGTTGAAGCCTGGAGGAGTACTCAGGGTATCTGGATGCAGGGAACCTTTTCCACCCAAAGGCATTGGCCAGAGTGACAAGGGGCTGATCTGCAGCTAAAACTTCACCAAGTACCTGTCATTTCGGGGCTGCATGGCCAAACCATTTGGGCCACTGCTTTCGGAAAAGGACAAAGTGATCTTCCTAAATCTGAGGTCTGACCAGGTTGTCCCTGTCCCCAAACTCCAGTGGCTTCCCATCACTTCCAGGATCAAATATTAAAAAAAAATCTCTTTGGCATTCAAAGCCTATTGGAACCTTTCCAGACTTCTGACACCTTCTACCCCCCCATATACACTTCTTTCCAGTAACATTGGCCTCTTTGCTGATGCTCCAACAATATGCTCCATCTTTAGACTCAGGATTTTCATTAGACAGGCCTGGAATGTTCTCTCTCCTCATCTCTATCTTCCTGGCTTCCTCCAAGTCTCAGCTAAAATCTCATTTTCCATAAGAAATCTTTCCCAATCCCCCTTCATTCTAATGTCTTCCCTCTGTTGGATATTTCCTATTTATCCTATCCATAGCCTGTCTGGACATAATTGTTTGCGCATCGTCTCTCCTACTAGCTTATAAGATCTTTGAGCAAAAGTATCATCTTTTGCCTTTCTTTGCATCCTCAGTGTTGGCACAGTGACTGACTGCAACTCACTGGATTGCCTCAAGGTGATTAGCAAGGATCTGATGAGTTCTAATTTAAGGATTTCCTTTTAACCCCAGACCAAAAAGGAAAGTCTACTGATCTTTTAGTATCATAAAGGCCCTGGTTAAAAGAAAAATTAAATTTAAATTCCCCAAAAATGGGTCTATAAGTTTCCCATGGGAAGGCCCTCATCCTGGGCTCTGATGACAAATTACCTTGGGGCACATCTGGACTGAAAATAGTCATTCTGTGGACTAATCTTTCCTGACCTTATGCTTATAGTATGTTTATTGACTTTAATTTCAGTTTTTCTTGACCACGAAAATGCCTCCAAGATTCTTAGTCGACCAAAGAGGTATAATTCAGGTAAACTGGAAGAATTTGTTCAAGGAAACCTTGAAAGAGAATGCAAAGAAGAAAAATGTAGTTTTGAAGAGGCCCGAGAAGTTTTTGAAAACACAGAAAAGACGGTAAGTATTTCCCACTAGCATCTTCTTCCCATTCTTCATTATGGTATGCAGTTGTTCCAAGGTTCTCAAAGGCTCTGCCAGTAGAATTTGAGCCCTGGTGGGTCCCAGCAAAGTGGAAAGGCTTCAGAAGAAGAAACCTAGTAAAGTATGGAGAGAGAAAGAGACTCCTTGCTGTATGGTTGGCGCACAAATGAAGGGCTGGAGGGTAGGATCACAACAACTCACAAAAACAACTTAACGGAAGGGGTTCCGATCTATGTTGGAGAAAGGAGTACCCTATTGAGGAAAGCACAAATCTGTACAAGTGAAGGGTAGGAGAACAGTTTAATAACCACATAGCTGGGCAATGTAGGTGATAAAATATGATGAATTTTGAATGTGATTGATTTCTTAGGATATAAGACAGATGATTATATTTTAAACCATTTTTAAAAAATTCACCTTTGAGATCATGATCTCAAAGAGCAGACAGTGAAATCTACTTCACCAGGGCTATGCTGGTAAGTGTTTAACAACCAGATTCTCTGAAAAAAAATGTATGCTTGGCATACTTTTACATTTAATCTCATTAGAAACATTTTCTCCACTTTCTTGAGCTTAAAAAATCGACAAAACAAATCAAGCCCTGATCTGTAGTGTTTGATGATTTCCAAGGTATAAATTTAAGAGTCTATTCTCAAGATCTGGTATAAGCTAGCTCCAGCTTATCTTCCTTACCTCCAATTCCAAGGTTAGAATTACATGTTATCAGACATGGTCACTCTATCAGGAATCATTTTGCTTAAATGATTTGCTTTATTACAAGGGAGGGATCCATTCCATTTGAGGACTGTATCCAGAAATGAATGCAATTTAAAAACCAAAGGCATCAATAAAAGTTGTTTTAAATATGTAAAGACATAAATAGCATCACCATTCATTTTCTTCTATTGCTTTCTCTTTTCTTCATAGACTGAATTTTGGAAGCAATATGTGGGTAAGTATCAATTTCATCTCACTATAAACAAATGTGACATATGTAAATGGTATCTGTCAAAAGGGATGCTGAACCATCATCCTCATTCATGCTATGACCCAGGTTTTGAGGATGAGGCCCTTCTGGGCGGTCTTACTTCTGCTGGGACAGAGACACTTCACTTGATCCTGGTTATATTAGCCTCTTTTACAGATGAGGAAGCTGAACTTAGAGAGGGGGGTCACACAGTTAGAAAGTGGGGAAGCTAGACGTCACACCCAGCACTTTTAAGTCTGAAGTTTCATGTTTTCTTAACTCCAGCCTTGCCACCTCCTCTCATGGGCATTGTTATAACCTGGGCGAAAAGCAGGGGATGGGGGAGGGAACGGACGTCACAAGCTAGATGTTGTAATCTCTTGTCCCATTTGCCAGCACTACAATCAGTCAATAAGCTTTTATTAAATGCCTGCTATGTGAGCAGCTAGATGGCTCAGTGGATAGAGTGCTGGTCCTAGAATCAGGAAGACCTGAGTTCAAATTTGACCTCAGACACTTAGTAGCTGTGTGATTCTGGGCAAATTAACTCTGTTTGCCTCAGTTTTTTCGTCTGTAAAATGAGCTAGAGAAGAAAATGGCAAACTACTCCAGTATCTTTGCCAAGAAAACCCCAAATGGGGGCTCAAAGAGTCAGACTTGACTAAACTAAGTGCCAGGCACTGTGCTAAGCCCTGAAGATACAAAGAAAGGCAAAAGGCAGTCCCCACCCTCCAGGGCCTCACCATCTATTGAGAGAAACCATATGCAAACTGTACAAAGAAGCTAAAGACAAGATAAATAGAAAATAATCAATACCAGGAAGGCCCTAAAAGGTGGGGCATTAGCTGGGACTTAAAGGAAGCTGGGAGGCTGAGTTGAGGAGGGAGAGCATTCCAGGCATGGGAAGCAGACAGAGAAAATGCAGGAGAGGGGGAGAGGCTTGATTCTGAATGTTGGGAAGTTTTCCTTGAAGAAGCAGGTCAAACCTCTTGTAGAGGCACAGTAGCTAGGTGGAGTCAAGAAAAGGGAGTTAGACCTTTGAGTCCCCAAGACCTGAGTTCGAAAGTTACCTCTGATATTTACTAGCTCTATGAACTGAGCAAGTCACTTAATCTGTCAGCCAGTTTCTTCAGCTATAAAATGGAGATAAATTATAGTGCAAACTTCACAGGGTTATTGGGAAGACCAAACAAAATAGTTTAGTTTAGGCTGGGGTGGGGGGGAACCTTCCTCATTGTTCTGTGAAGTTTGGATTGGGTCAAAGGGCCACACTTGAGGACCTAGAGGGCCACATGTGGCCTGGAGGCCGAAGGTTCCCCACCCCTGGTTTAGACAGTGCTTTGCATTTCAATGGCTATTATTACTATTGTTATTACTCTTCTATGGGTATGGTCTTTCCCTTTTCTTTCACTACCACCAAGGGAAGCCCAGGCCTACACTCAAATTCAAAGCCTCCAGGACTTTACCTCCTCCGTCCTGCCTTAGGCACACACCTAGGAATCGCTGGACTTTGAGCTGGTTACTTAAGGTCTCTGTACCTCAGTTGCCTCTTCACTTCACTAGAGTCACCAATAAGAAGATGAGAGGCCAGGATTCTAGCTCCAGTTCAGCTACCAATTAATTAGCAGTGTAATCTTGCAGTATAGTTGGCAGGCTGGGACCTTGAGTCCTGCCTCAGATACTGACCAGCTGTGTGACCTTGGGGAAGTCACTGAACCTTTTTCAGACTCAGTCTGTTCTTCTGTAAAATGGGGCTGCAACTTAACAATAGCTGATTTTTGCATAGTGCTTTGTAGCTTACCAAGTACACCTAATAACACACAGTACTGGCACTTCACCACAATCCTGTGGGGTAGCTACTACAGGCATTACCTCCATTTGACAGATGAAGAAGCTGAGGACCAGAGAAGATAAAGTAACCTGTCCATGGTCACCCAAGTATTAAGTGCCAGAGATTAAATCTGAACTCAGATGTTGGCACCCCCAAGCCCAGCACTCTAGTTACTACATGCCCTGTCCCCACCCCACTCAGGAACAATCTATGAATCACCTCCCAAAGTTGTGGTGAGGATCGAAGGAGATAATATATACAAAGTGCTTGGCAACTGGAAAGAAGATTTGGGTTCAGATTCTGTCTTTGACACACATTGGCCATATGACCAAACCCTCATTGCCGCCAGGTCTGACTCTCTAAGACTTTAAGTTAGTTACTTATCTTTATTCATGGAGGGATATTTCACATTGGGAGTTCCCTAAGCCAATGAAACCACAGGTTCAGTCCCTATCTTTATCCCTATTACAGAGGCAACATAGTACAGTGAGTAGAGAGCCAGAAAGAACTGAGTTCAGGGACTACCTCTGAAACATACTGGCTGCTGATTCTAAGCAAATCATTTAATCTCTCAGTGCCCTCAGCCAACTGGCCAAGACTCTAAGTTTCAGCACAGGTTGTAGAGGGAGTTTCCTCACCTGGGAGTTCCCTTTATCAGTGTAAACACAAGTCTATTCCCCATTCCCATTACATATTAGCTGTCTCCCACCCCATCAGCAGCTCGCTTTCCTTCTCTGTAAGATGACGCGACTGGGCAAGCTGATCTCCAAGGTCCTTTCCACCTCTGCCCATCTCTGATTCCATGACTGTTTATCCAAACATAGTTGTTCAATAAAGATCAACTTAGCAGCTCTCAAGATGAACGTCTCCTGTGGCATGAGCTATCGGCCTGTCTTCTTTGACCCCTCTTAACCTTTAGCTCTGCCTAACCCCCCAGCAAACCCCAACAAGCCCCTAAGGGAAGACTGAAGTGCAGATGAAGTGCCACTGGTTGCCAGGCCCTGTTTCAGCCAACGAGTGGCTGCATAGCTGGCTCAAAGCCCAGGCCCTTCACTGCAACATCCTCAATAATTCAGAGGAGTCAGCCCATAATAGAAAGTGCTAGCAGAGTTTGTTTGGAAACAAGTGCCCAACATTGCCGAGAACATAAACCAGTTCTACCTTCTTTTGTTGTTGCTCTCGTTGCAATCGAAAGAAATTAGAGTATTTGGACAAACATGTGCTGGGACAAGCAGCACAGAGCAATGTGGTCACATAATTGGGGTGAGTAGTTTTCCCCTGAGGAAGGAATGATAGTCCCTGTGTTGGGTCCACAGAGATGGGGCAAACATTTGTAGCAGGGAAGGCCGCTCGGCAACAGTGATATAACCAGCACAGCATTGGGAGCCATAGTGGGAAAAAGGCATAGAGGTAAAAAGTAAAGTATGGGTTAAGAGCACAGGGTGAATGGGGTGGGGGGAGCAACATGAAATAGGGTGGGAAAGGCAGGGTGGTATCAGAGTAGAGAAGCCCTTGAACTCCAGGCATAAGTTTGAATTTTTCTTAGCAGAAAATAGGGAGCCGTTGAAGATTTTTCAGCAGAGTAACACAAACAGATCAATGCGAAAGAATAACTATTCTGGCAGTGATATAAAAGGGAGATTGGAAGGAGAAGTCCTTGGGTAAATCACTTCAACTGTCTATGCCTCAGGGTTCTCATCAGTAAAATGACAGAGTTGGACTAGATGATATCTGAGGTCCCTTCCAGCTCTAGGCCTATGATCCTATGTGACAAGTTCTGGGTAAGTCCCTTCACATCCTTAGTGAAGGGGTTAGATAAGATGAATTCTCAGGTCCTTTCCAGCTCTGGATCTAAATCAATTTCCTCATCTGTAAAATGAGGAGGTTGGACAAGATATCCTCCAAGGTCCCTTCCAGGAGTAAAGCTATGATTCTATAATCCTATAATATCTAAAAGAGTGACAATAGTACAGGCAGGTCATGATGAGGGTGACAGCAATGGGAATAGGAAAGAGAAGGCAGAGAGAGGTGCTTGGGGGACAGCATTAGGGAGAGGAAATCTATAGCACCCAGTAACTGATGATACAAAAAATAATGGTGAAGGAAGACCCAAAGATTAACCCAAGGTTTTGGCCATGGGAGACTACACATACAGGAGTGCTAGAGACAAAAATAATAGAGCCATAAGGAAGAGTGGGCTTAGAAGGAAAGATAATGAGCTTAGTTTGGGACATAAGAAGTTTGAGATGTTGCTGAGACATCTTCATAAAGAAGGCTATAGGCATTTGGAATTTGGGGTTTGGAGTGCAGAAGAAAGGGCAGGGCTAGAGACCAGTTTAGAAATTCCCAACTAAGGGGTGGTAGGTAATGCCATGGGAGCGGATGAAATTGCCAAAGGAGAGAATGTGGAGAGAAATGAGAGCTGAAGGTAAACCTTTAAGGACCAGCTATATTTGAAATAGAAAACAAGGACCTAATGAAAGTTACCAAAAAAAATAGTTGGAGAAGCAAATGCAGAACCAGGAGAATGAGATGTCTCAGAGACCAAGGGAGGAGAAAGGAGTCAGTGGGAGGAATGGTTAACAGTGAAAAATGCTGAAGAGAGATCAAGGAGGATGGAACCAAACAAAGACCACAGGATTTAACTATTAGATCATTGGTGACCTTAAAGAGAGCACTCAGAATAATGGTGGACATAGTAGCCACTTTGCAATGGTTTGATGAGTTGGGGGCAATGAGTATAGACATTTAGCAGTAAATAGGAAAAAAAAGATGAGACAGTAGCTGGATGAAATAGAAGGGCCAGAGGAATATTTTTATTTAGGACTACATGATTATAGATTGACAGGAAAGAGCCAGTGGAAAGGAAAAGATTAAATATGCATGAAGGAGAGATGGGTGCTAGAGCAGTGTCCTAGAGAAAGTAGGGGGTATTGGGATTGAGAGCATAAGTAAAGCGGTCAGCCTGCCTAACAGTGGGAATCATGTTCAGTGACTGAAAGGAAGGGGAGAAAGGGTAAGGATTCTTAATTTTGAGGAATGGAAGAGTAGGTAGCTACCTCTATGCTGATGAACTGCCCTGCCCTTAGCCAGGGTGGTTCTTTATTAGACAGACATATATATTCAAAGACTTCCTGGCTTGGTAGCAGCTGCCAGAGATTGTGTTCCCCTAGCATAGTCTTCAAGGACTCAGGCCTAACCACCTCCATGCTAGGATGAGGCATCAGAAGAGGACTTCAGTAGAAGAATATGGAAAAAAGCTCTAGTAAACTAGATTTCTTGTCATTACCTTTTCTCTACTGCCTTCATTCTTTCTTATCCTTTCCACTACCTACATCCTTATATTAATTGCAAAACCCTAAAGTCCCAAGCAATCTGGCTAATACTTGAAGGTCTAGGTAAAAGTACTGTAGGTGAATGAACAATCTCTATAAGATAAGCAACACTGTATAAAAGAAACAGCACTGGACTCAGACTCAGAACACTAGAGGGAGGTTTAGTTATGTATGCATGTGTATGGAAGAAGAGGTCTTGATTCTCCATGGGCTCGAATACAAGTCCTTTCTGTGTCTTTTATAGTGTAAATAAAGCCTTGTGAACCAGAGAACTTGTAAGAAGAGCTGGTGGCTACCCTTGGGAGAGTGTCAGTTACTGAAGTATCCCACTGCTAACATTCTACTCTTATCCTCAGGATATGTACAGTCCAAATCCAGTGCTTTTCTCACCACACTAGGCTACCCTTCATTCCTCAAGGAATTCTCCTAGAAGCTCCAAAAATATCAAGATCATTAATGCCTAAGAGCAACTAGCTTATATTTCAAAGCAGTAGTTCTGCCTTGATGGTGAATACAGGCTCCTCTCTTCTCTGTACTTGGGATTCTGAGGGGCAGAAGCGGGTTCTGTGGGTAGCTTCTCAGCTAATTCAGTATGTTATTCTTTCTATCTCAAAGATGGCAATCAGTGTGAGTCCAATCCCTGCTTAAATGGAGGTGTGTGCAAGGACGAAATCAATGCCTATGAGTGCTGGTGCCCAAGGGGGTATGAAGGAAAGAACTGTGAATTAGGTAAGTCAATACTGTCCAGAATTGATTCCTGTTGAAAAATTGCTTAACAAACAAAATGGGCAAATACAGTATTTTCATTCTCAAGATGTTTAATTTTTTTCACGATGTTTACTTTCTGCTTTCTAAAACATCAGATACATTTGTAATTGCTATGAGGCCTAGAACCACATTGTCATTATGGGGATACACAATGACTCAGAGGCTATACCTAGGCCAGAAAGGTAACATTGGAAGTGACAAAGAAACCTAGCCCTCTAATTGCCTGCAGGCTGCCTCTCCAGCCAAACCACAGGACAGAAGAGGGAAACTACTGATTATTGGCTGTTGAGATGGCCTTGGAGGAATTGGACTTGTCAATTCAGTTCTACTCAATTCAACAGACATCTATTAAGTACCTACTATGCACAAGGCACTGTGAAGATGATAATACTCCAATGTATCGATCTCTTCAAAGCAAGCATTTCCTCCAAAGAAGCAAATTGCAACTCATCCATACCTTCCCATCATGCCTTATTCTTCTCAATGTCTTCCCATAAGTTCACCATCAGAGGAAGGGGTGAGAGAATACTCAACCTGCCAAGGGACTTTCTTTGCATTCTCTTTACATCATAAAGATATTGATGGAGCCCCAAGGTGGTCCACTCTTGCCATCTTCTTATTCTCTCATATACTTCTTGGACGACATCCTTTATAATGTTGTCCTGTGTAATTCCTTGCTAGATATACTACTGTTTATTGTTGACCATCATGCACTTCTCCGTGGTTCTAAGCATGCAAAGACAAAAGCGATAAGTAGGGGCAGCTAGGTGGGACAGTGGATAGAGCTCTGGCCTTGGAGTCAGGAAGACCCAAGTTCAAATCCAGCCTCAGACACTTGACACTTATTGGCTGTGTGACCTTGAGGAAGTCACTTAACCCCGATTGCCTCACAAAAAAAAGTGATAATCAGTCACGCCCTCAAGAAGCTTATATACAAGTCAATTCAATTCTACCAGAATTTATGATATGCTTACTCTGTACGAGGCACTGTAAAAGGTGCTGGGAATACAAGACAACAGTGATGAACATTTCTGCCTTCAAAGAGTTTCCATTTGACTGGATCCTTCTGGAGGTCCTTCTCTACCAAGAGCAGAGCATTGGATAGATTCTTAACAAGCTTTAATCATGCCCTCCTGGAGTCATAGAAAGTGCCAAGGGGAACTACTTTTTCAGACAAAAATTTCATGACCACCACTCCCCCATCCAGTTGGCTACGGTCACATCAAACCAGGGAGACTCATATCTGAATTCCAAGTAGGTGGACCAGTACCCACTCCCTTATACAATCCAAGTCTTCCTCACCAAACCATTTTGCCTAATCTTTTCATGGACAAAATCAATCTAGTCATCTATATTTCACCAACATATTTATGTATACGGCATCTTGCCTCTGGAATTATAAAACTGAGGTTCCTATCTCACCTCAGATGCTTAATAACTATAAGACCCTGGACAAGTCACTTCCCCAGCCTGAACCTCAGTTTCCTCAACTGTAAAATGAGGAATTGAACTACATGGCCTCTGAGATCCCTTCCAACTCCATACCCAGATCCTAAGATCCTATGATTATTATCAACAACCCAACCACCTCCTACCCCCAACCTCAATGCTAATTCTATCCTGAAAAGCTATTTCCTAAGCTTTGGGTGATGGGCCAGTCCAACCAAAACCACAAGTTCCTCAGCTCAGTGTTTACCATCTCCAGATGAAGCTGGGATTATGCTTGTGGAAGGAATCTAGCGCTCATAAACAATTCTTTTTCTTCTCCAAAAATCAAATAGAAGAAAGAGAAAGGACCTGGGCATGGTGGATGTATAACATCACAGGCCTCATGGCTCCAATAGAATACCACACAATTCGTAGGCCTGAGATGAGCAGACATAAGAAGCCCCACAAGCTAAAAAGAGCAAGGTAATCAAAGGGACGCAGACATGGAGGTGACTCTTGCTTATGTGGAAAGTAGAACCAAACCCGGAGCCACAGTCAACCATAAAGGTGTCAAGAGATCCGTCCAGAATGGAAGTATGACCTGAAGATTGTCTCTCTTCACAACATGCCCTCCCTTGCCCCCAGATGAAAAGGCAGACAACATTAGGCAAAGGGAAGAGGAGGGAGAAGAGATGAGGAACAGGGAAGGCCAGTTGGCTGAGCCCCTGACATTGGTGCTCTGAATCCCAGCTTGGACCCCATTCTTTCAGCATTAAGAGTTGCTAAATTCTGCAGTGATAGAAAACAGATTCGAGTCTTTCAGTTATTTATTTATTTATTGGGGAGGCAGAGAACGGTTGGGGGGGTGGAGCTCAATCATTTCGAGTTCTAGCTAGCAGCATTCACCTGAAATGCACTCATTCCTGCTCTAGAATGACCCAGCCTAATGCGGCTCCCCTTAAGGTAGAAACAAGAAGAAATCTTTGAAGTAGTTACTTATTATCAGCTTAAATAATGAAAGCCTGGGAGCTGAGGGAATAACCCAATTACGCATTCAATAAAGAAAGCGTAATTGAAACTGGTCCCTAGCATTAAATATTCGTAAAAGACTTTATCGTCTCCAAAAAAAACTTTGGGGGCTCAAGGGAAAAGCCAGCGTAATTGCAGGCTGTCCTGGGGCCTGTAGCTGCCCTGGGCTCAGTGGCACAGGGATTTCTAGCCTGACTCAGGGCCTGTTCTCAGCTCAGCAAGTTACAAATTCCGAGGGTTTTAATTTTAATTTTTTTTTACTTCAAAATTTGATGTTTTTGTTCTGAACTTTTAGCAAACAGCAAGTGAAATAATCATTTCCTTACCCGAAGTTGAACTGTACATGAAACTATGAATCATTGGGGTATACAGCTGGTTTTTCTTTTTAAATATAGAATAAATTCAACATGTAATTTTGAGAGCCATCCTGCTTGTTTATGATTCTTTCTGGCCTTCTGTTCTCCTTCTTGGCATTTTTTTAAATGCTTTAATGACCTGCTTTCCTTTTGCTTCCTCTTGGGGGAAGGGGATGCCTCGCCCTCTACCCTCAATCTTAACTAAAAAACAAACAAATTTAAAAAACTCTTGCAACATATAGTCAAGTAAAACAAATTGCCACTTTGAGCATATCTGAAAACATATGTCTTTTTCTTCGTCTTGAGTCCCTCACTCCTGGTTGGAGGTTTTGTAAAGGCACTCAAAGGGAGCAAATCCCTTCCCATCTCTGGGCTTCAGTTTCCTCATCTGTATAATGAAGAAGCTGGCTCTAGGGCCTCTTCTAGCACTAGTCTCTTCCCAGTCTGTATAGTATTTTTAACAAAATAATAATAAAAAAAATCTACTGGCTCCACAGAAGCATAGAAATAAATATATTTTTATCAAACTTATCTCAGGCAGGAAGGAGATTAGGCTGGGGCAATGGATGATACGGATAACTCTTTTTTTTAAAAAAACTTTCTCGAGCTTTCCTTTCCCATCTTCCCCTGGGCCTCTGCTCCCCTTCTGCAGAGGAAAATTCGAGGAGGCACTGAGATCACTGCTGTACCCTGGCCAGCAGACCCACAGAACTACAAACGCTGAGGGTTGGAAGGGACCTAAGAGATAATCTGTATGAACCCTTTCATGGAGGAAATCCAGGCTCCTCATCTCTCAGATCCTCCAAGTGGGAAAGTGACTTGCCCCCAAATCAGAGGGTCATGACTTGGAAAGGACATTAGAAATCACCTAGAGACTGGGTTCTAGTCCAGCCCCTTCATTTTGCAATCAAGGTAACTAAGGCCCAGCTCAGTTCAGGGTCAAGGTCTCACAGCTAGCCGGTAGCAGAGCCAGGATTCAACCAGTCTAGTGTCTGCTGCTATTATGTGGTCTTTCCTGCACCCCCACCCCCACCTCCCTTTCACGGGTGTCCATTTTGTTCAGTCGTTTCAATCATGTGTCCAACTCTTCATGACCCCAATTAGTGTTTTCCTGGCAAAGATCCTGGAGTTTTTGCCATTTCCTTCTCCAGCTCATTTTACAGATAAGGAAACTGAGGCAAACAGGGTGAAGTGACTTGCCCAAGGTCACACAACTAGTATGTATCTGAGGCCAGATTTGAGCTCAGGAAGATTCATCTTCCTGACTCCAGGCCTAGCACTCCATCCACTGCATCACCACCTAGCTGCTCCCCCCCTTCAAAGAAACAGAGCTCATAATTCCTCAACCAGCTAAGAGGGGTAGATATTTGATAACATGGAGACAAATTAACATTTCTTTCAAATGTGGCATTTCTACGTTAAATATGAAGACTTCCACTCTTCTAAATGGTGCTGCCTTTTCTACATGTCGGGGTTCGTGAGGAGTGGGGGAGTGGATAGCAGTGCATGAGAGTTGGGAATTAGGCAAATTCTGCTAAATAAATAACAACAATGAACTTTGTGGTGACCTCATTGTCCAGAAAGCCTTTCTGTTGATATTGTCAGGGAGGAATGAGGACTAGATGGACGGAGAGTAGAAATGGGGAATATAAACCCCTCCCCCATCATCAAGCTGGTTGTAAGTAAGTGGGAATGGGCAGAGGCATCTTGTGTTAGCAGGAGGGGAGGGGAGGGTGCTCCATGACGGGTAAGCTCTTCTAGAATCACAGAATGTCTGTGATAAGGGCCTGATACAGCTTCTCCTCCACCTGCCTCAGTTTACAGAGGAGGAAATTGAGAAACCAGCAAAGAGACTGGCCCAAGTTTATATAACTCAACCAACCAAAAAGTATTGAATAAATGTCTACTATATGCCAGGCAGTGTGCTAAATTCTGGGGCTACAAATACAATGAAAGAAATAGTCTCTACTTGCAAAGAGCTTATATTCTAATGAGTACATATATAAGTATATATAAAATAAATAGAAATACAAAATAGTTTTTAAATGGTAGTTTGGGAAGGAAGGTACTAACAGTTGAAGAGACCAGGAAAGGCTTCATGTAGGGATTTTTCAGCTACGTCTTGAAGAGAGGGATTCTGTGAGGTGGAGGAGAGGAGACAGGGCATTCCAGGCAGGGGAACAGCCACTGCAAAGGCATGGCAGTGGGAGATGAAGTATTATTTATAAAGAATAGAAAGAAGACCAGTTGGGCTGGAGTGAAGAGCGCTGGAGGAGGCAGGGGAATGTCTAAAGAGGTTAGAAGTATAGGTAGAAACTCAGGATGTGAAAGGACTTAAAAGCTAAAGGACCATACAGTTGATTTTAGAGGTAACAGGGAGCCAGTGGAGTTGAAAGAGTAGGGGAGTAATAAAGTCAGATCTACACTTAAGTAAAAATCATTTTGGTAGCACTTGTGGAGGGTAGACTGGAGTAGGGAGAGACTTGAGGCAGGGAAACCAATCAGAAGACTTGCAATAACTGGAGAGGGCTTGAATTAAGGTGATCACTGTGTTAGCAGAGCAAGTGTAGGGTTTCAGAAATGGTTTGGGGATAGAAATGGCGATGTTTGGTAACTGAGTGGACATGTGGGGTAAGGGATAGTAAAGTAAGAATCAAGGAAGAAACTGAGGTTAAGAACCTAGGAGACTATAAAGATGGTGGGGAAATAGAGAAGTTCTAAAAAGGGATGGAATCTGGGAAAGACATAACGAAGCTCTGTTTTGGACCTGTTGATCTTGAGATATCTCTGGGGCATCTAGTTTGAAATGTTCCACAAGTAATTGGTGATGTGGGTCTGGAGCTCAAAGAAGAAATGAGACCAGGTCTGGATATAGAGATCTGGGATCATCTGTATAGAGATGCCAATTAAACCCATAGGAGACAGGGAGGTCACCCAAAGAGAGAATGGAAAGAAGGACAGGTGGCCTAGGATGGGGCCTTGGGGGACACCCACAGTGCAGTTGTGCCATATGAATGATGAACCAGCAAAGAACATGGAGAAGGAGCAGTCAGATAGGCAGGAGAACCAGGAGAAAGAAGAGGTGAATGATGGAAGCAGTCCCAAGGTGAGATTTGGCAAGGGATGAATGGTGACTGGACAGAGAAGCAAGGAATTTGAGAAGAAAGGACAGAGTAGAATTGAATTGGCTAACTAGAAAGATGGGAGAATGAAGCAAGAGAAAGGGTAATGGCCTCAGAAAGAACTGAGGGGAAGAGAGATTGGAGGCCTCTATGAGGAACAGAGGAATGTTAGAATTTGTAAGTAGGAAAATCAAACACTTATGGGTAATGGTAAGATCCAGTATGGCTTCATTTATGGTTGAGATGGGGTAAAGGAATAGGTCATGGGATTTAAGAAGACCAAAGAATTAGGAGGTGAAGGAATCTGAGGGAACATCGACATGGATGTTGGAGTCCCCTGCTATAAGGGCAGGAGATGGGAAAAGGAAAAGGAAGATGGTGAGCCAGATACATGACTGAGAAAGGAAGGGGAATGATGTGGGAGCCCATGTAAAACAGTCATCAGAGATTGGGCAGAAAGGTTTTTTTGAACTTCAGAGGAAGAGATGTTGCTGATTGGTGGTGATAAAGGGAAAGTTTAGAATCAAAATGGGGAATGAAATAGCATCCCAACCCACACCCTGCCGCCCAGCACCAGTGTTTGGGGTGGGGGGGCTGAAGGTCTAGCCAGTGGTAGAGAGGAGGGCCAGGAATAGAACATGGTCATGGGCAAGAGGGACTCAGTCACAATGAGGTCTAGTAGATGGAAGGAGTATGAGAGAAAGAGGTCCAGGACAAAGAGAAGTTTGTTCACTATGGAAAAGGAATTCCAGAGGGTACAGAAGAAGGGGGTAGAGTTGGAATAGCATGTCAGTATGGTGTGCTTCAGAGATTGGGGATGAGAGAATGGGGAGGGGGATAGTTTGCTTCTATGTGCCCAGTAGTTGATTAAAACAGAGATAGGGAGAGAAGCGGATGGTGAGAAGTTATTAGCCATTGGAGTAGTAGTGAAGCTCACAGTCACAAAAGGGTTATTACCTCTAGACAAGGGATAATGGTACAGGGCCTTAGTAACAACTCTCATTTACTTGTCCTGTGAGGTAGGTGTGGGGGACAACAGGGTACAAGAGAATCCGAACAAATGTCTTAGTCTTCCAGAACCAAATCTAGTGCCTTTTCTTCCATTCTGTACCACAGCACGCCCAAGCAAATCTGCAACAGAGGACCATGGACAGCGTACTAGAATTGGAATTCAAGACCCTTCCTAGGCCTCAGTTTCCTCATTTCTAACCTGAATGGGTTGGACAAGATGGTCTCAAAATACCCTTCTAGAGCTAAATGTATGATGCTCTAACCTGGATTTGGAACGTGGATCTGCCACTTCCTACCTGTGTGGTCTTGGCCACGGCACTCCGCTTTTTTAGATTTCCGTTCATAGGTAAAATGGCAGGAGGAGGCAGGAATTAACTGGCCCATGATCCCTTCGATTGCTACGAGCACGTATGTGGCAAATCGCTTGGCCGTCTTTGGCCTTCAGTTCCCTCATCTGTCAAACGAGGGGGTTGGAATAGACGATCTCTGACGTCCCTTCTAGCTCTGCCTAGGTCTGTGTTCTTCCCAGCTCTGGCTCCTAGCCTCGAACCCTTTCTGCTGGCAACTCTGTTATTCGCTATCAGCAGAGGCCCCCTGGAATATGCAGGGCAAGGATGAAGGTGGGAAATGAGCAAAGCAGTCACATGACACAGAACCTGGGGAGGGCCAAAGGGCTCCTTTCATTGTCATCTGCAGGTTGGCTGAACACTCTCTGCAGGGCTTGTTTGCTTTGGCTGCACACTTTCACATTTCTGGGTAGAAATAAAGTGATACCAAGTGAAGGGGAAAATAACCAAGGTTATCAGCACTGGCTGGAGCAGGGGGAAAGGTCTTTTTTTTTTTAAAGAAAAGTACAAAGTCACATTTGTATTCATTAAAAACCCAGAGTAAGCACTTGGGGATTATCTCTAGACAGGGGTAGAATTCTAGTCCTCCAGTCCCTGTAGCATCCCCCTGAGAAAAGATTTACTGTTTTATTTACCTGGTAACAGTGCTGGACAATAAAAAAATACCCACTGAACTTGGAGTCAGAAGACCTGGGTCTGAAACTCCAGCTCTGCTACTTTACTACCCATACATCTAATTAGGCGAATCACTTCCCATCTCTGAGCTTCCATTTTCCCCACTGAAAAAATGAGGGGATTGCTCTAGATGGTCTCAAAAGTCCCTTCCTGCTCTCGATTCAATCAGAGACCATACATGAACAAGAACGCTCTCCACCCCATATCAGCCTCCACTTGAAGACCTCCAATAAAGAAGAGCCCCTTTCCTCCTGAAGCGGCACACGTCACTTTGGGGGAGCTGTAAGCCTAAATCTCCTTTTCTGCACCTCCCACCCATTACTCCTGCTCATTTTGCCCTCAGGAGCCAAGAATTGGTCTTATCTCTCTTCCACAAATACTTGAAGGCAGCTCTTGTGTTCATCTCTCAGTTTTCCTATCTGTAAAATGAGGACATTGGTCTAGATGACCTCTAAGGTCTCTTCTGGGTCCAAATCTACAATCTCATGCTGTCCCCAGTAAGTTCCAAATTTCTCCAGACTAAATATTCCAAATTCCTCCCAGTGTTGTCTAAACTGCATTCAACATGGGTAAATATAGAAAGTCTTATACTTCAGTTAAAAAAAAAAAACTTCACTAGGACCAGAATCACAGAATATGGGAGTTGAAAGGGTATCTCAACAGCTATCTCGTCCATCCCATACGCAAAGGAAACTCCACTTCTCACACTGGTGACTTCTTTCCAGAATCTGTATTTTGAGGAGGGGCCCAGAACAACCATCCCTCCTTCTCCAGGCATAACCAACATGACCATCTGATACCTTCTACCCTCAACTCCCCTTGTGCTTTTCAGCTCCCCCTTTATGTGTTGTCTTCTTTCATTAGAATAGAAGCTCCTTGAGGGCAGAGGTTGTCTTGCTTTTTGTTTATCTCTGTACAGTAAATGCTGAATTAGATGCTTATTGACTGAAAAACTGACTTCCCTTCCAGATGCCAGCTGTAGTATTAAAAATGGCGGCTGTAAGCAATTCTGCAAGATGAATGACTTGAACAAAGTGGTGTGTTCCTGTACTACGGGATACCAACTGGCAGAAGACCAGAAGTCCTGTGAACCAGCAGGTCCAAATTGAAACAGATTTTCTAAAGTCTTACAGATAAGTTCACCAAACCTATATTTAGTCCTTTAACATTCTGAAAAATGTCTAGTTCCCCTTCTAATCCATACCAAATCAATTCACCAGCAGCATTTATTAAGTTCCAGCTAGAATTTATTAGGCACCTACTACGTACCAGTCACTGTGCTAGGCCACAAAAATACAAAGATAAACCCCAAAAGAGTCCCTGACCTCAAGGAACTTACATTTTCCTGGGGGATACAATGTGTAAACATATTAGTATGCTCAAGATTTCTTGAGGTGGAAGACTCCTACCAAATGGAGGAGGGAGGCTCAATAAAGGTTTTCTGCAGGAGGCGGCACCTGGGTTTTACCTTGAAGAAAACCAGGGATCCTAAGAGATGGAGAGGGGAGATCACCCAACCATGAGGGCTGGTTTGTACAAAGGGCCAGAAGCCTGAGATGGAAGGGGAACTTCTGGGAATAGCAGCCACCATGACAGCAGAATTAAAATGAAGAGTGTAGAGTTCCCTCCTCTCAGTCTCACTTTTTGTATCTAACAATGCTTGACTGAGCAGAGTTTCTTACCTTGGAGTTTGTGAACTTGGTTTACATAGATATAGATATGATTGGTATTCTTTGCAATCCTATGTGTTTTATTTTATACATTTAAAACCTTATTCTGAGAAGGGGCCATGGGCTTCTTCAGGCTGTCAAAGGGGCCCAGGCCACCAAAAAGAGGAAGAACCCCTGGACTAGAAGATCTCTAATGGCCCCTCCCTAATTCCACAATTCAATCCATAAAAAGCATTTATTAAGTGCCTACTGAATGCCAGGCACTATGCTGGCCACTGGGAATACCAAAGCAAAACAAAAGGCAAACCACACCCATCAGTCTCAAATACTTTCACTCTACTAGTGTAGGGATTCTCAATCATCTTAAACTTCTTTCCTTCCTTCCCTCTCTCCCTTTTTTCCTTCTTTCTTTCTTTCTTCCTTCCTTCCTCCCTTCCTTCTTTCTTTCTTTCTCTTTCTTTCTCTCCTTCTTTCCTTAGAGATGAATTCTTCATCTCTGTCCCTTCCCCAGAGTCTGAGTTCTTTCAAGCCTAGCAATGTTCTCTTGGGCTCTCAGGACATAGGGCAACACCAGTTGGCATGACTGGTTTAAATATTTGTGAGTCAGTAAATCAAACTCAATCAGTGGTAACAGCAAATATCCTAAGAGGGCCAGAAACTCAGAGACTGAGTGTTCCAAGCATGATTCTGTTAGCCCCTGATTGGGAGGCTCTGCAGAGATCATTTAAAATCCCTGGGTCTCAAGCTGTGTTCCAACAAGCTTGACCAGTTCTAAATCACTCTTGTAGCTGTACCCTTTCATCAAGTTGATCAATGCCATGTATCTGGGCAGCAGGGAATCAATTCTCTGGGCCAACATTTCTATGCTACTGCTTGACATGCCACCTCAGAGAAGGACTGTGTTGACTGGGCAACTCCTATGTTCAGAAAGGTCCAAGAGCCATGTTATCATGCACAGAAATATAGTCGCATATGCCTCTTCTTTGAAAATGAGGTTGGAAAGGAGCAGCTAGGTGGCGCAGCGGATAGAGCACCAGCCCTGAAATCAGGAGGACCTGAGTTCAAATCTGCCCTCAGACCAAACACCTGACATGTACAAGCTGTGTGACCCTGGGCAAGTCACTTAACCCCAATTGCCTTTAAAAAAAAAGAAAGAAAGAAAATGAAGTTGGAAGAATCTCAAATAGAGCAAGTCAGCCCCTCATGTCGTTGATAGTGATACTTTGGCACCAGAGAGAAACAACTTTCACAACCTGGTCCCAACCTACCTTTCTAACCTTATTATACATTACTTCTCTTCCCACATTCTACAGTCCAGCCAAACTGGCCTTCTGGTTATTCCTTACACATGGTATACCACCTCCATGCTTTTGTCCAGGCTGTCCCCTCATGCTTAGAATGCAGTCCTTCTTCTTCTCTGCCTCTTAGAATCCATAGTTTTGTTTAAAACCTAGCTGAAGTGCCACCTCCTTCCTACCTGAAGCCTGTCCTAATATCCCCAGGTTCTAATGTCCTCCACAGAAACCTGCCTTATATTTATTATATATGTATTTTTATGTATGATATTATAAATATATTTACCTATTATTTGTATAGGCTGATTTGTAGCCCCCAACACCAGCCCCATCCCCCTGCCATAAGCTTCTTGAAGACAAGGACTGTTTTGTCTTTGTCTCCTCAGCACCTAAGCATAAGTGTCTGGCACACAGTAGGTGCTTAATAAGTCTTGGTGATCAGCTGAATGAAGCACTCAGGAATTGCCACTGAGAAACAGCTCCTCTGTGCCTATTTTGTATGGGAGAAGGGTGTTTTTGATGTCTCAAAGGTAGAATCTCATTAGTCTGGTGTATCACATTTTGAGCTTTGCCATTATACTCAGGCGGGCTGCCTATCTGGGCATCAAGGTGAGGCTCAGCAGAGGAAATTAAAGACACTACCAATAACCAGGAGTGGTCTTTAAAGCACTGGTGTCTGCAAAAGCTAAGTTTTAACCCCACTGTGGCTGCTGGGGACATTTGGCCCTCAGGGAGACATTCTCTTCCCCTCTCCTCTAAAAATAGGTGCAGAGAGACACAGAACCTGTGCAGCAGCAGTCTGAGGACTGCTGGCCACTATTGCTTCAGCATTTCTGGATAAGCAGCCCATGACTTTGCAACCCCTGACAGCCCCTGCAGACCTTTCTGTGTTGAATCATGGAATCATAGATCATAGAACCACACATCTAGAGCTGGGGGGGGGGGGACTTTAGAGGCCTTCAAGTCCAACCTCTGCCTTCTATAGATTAGGAAACGGGTCGAGAGAGGTTAAGTGACCAACCCAGGGTCACCTAGCTAGTAAGTATCTGAGGTAGGATTTGAACCCAGATCTCTCCTGCCTCCAAACCTAGCACTCTCTCTCTACTTTGATACCTATCGGCCTCAGCAGGGGATATATTCAATTCAATTTGAGAAATATTAACACCTTACTATGTATGTGCAAGGTATAAAGGTGGTAGGGTGGGAGGAGGAAGAAAATGTTTATCTACTGATATCATATAGAATAGAATCCTACAGAATCCTTAGGTATCATTGAATCCTACTTACTGATCTGATAGAGAAATGGTTGGGTATCAGGAAGGCCTGGGCTCTAATCTCAACTCTGACACTTACTAGCTATGAGACCCTGGGCAAGTCACCTCACCTGGATTGGCCTTAAGCCATTCTCTCAAACTTAATTCTAGTAAAGTACAAAGGAAGATTCTAGGAGCTAGGAGCCAGGGACATGAACACCAAAAAAATCCAACTGCCCACACCCTCAAAGGGCTTTCAGTCTACTGGGTGAAAATAAGGCATACACAGATAAGTGAATACCAGATCTATTAAGGAAGGCGTGAATATTAACAACTGAGTGGCCCAGGGAAGGCTTCCCTAGAGGAAGCGAAACTTTGAGGTGAACCTTGAAGGCTAAGGAGCCCAAGAGGGAGCCAAAAGGAAGTCAAAGCTACAGTCAACATCTCCCAGGCTCCCTGTGTCGCCTCACTACATTAGCTGAGCTGGGAATCAATAGCCAGCCACAACTGTTTGGGGCTCACTGATACCAGTGCTGGCCAGTCATGTTGGCACAAATAATAAATTGTAAAGAAGTCATTTCATCCATCTATGAAAAACTTCAAACAATGAATAATAGAAATAGCAGGACAGTATACAATTTGTCCTAGGGAAGTTTCTATTTGAACTGCATTTTTAAAAAAGAGATAATAATAATAATAATAATAATAACTGGTATTTAGATTGTTCTTTAAAGTTTGCAATGTGCTTTGTACATATTTTCCCATTTGAGCCTCATGACTACCCTGTGAGGTAGGTGTTATAACACCCATTTTACAGATGAAGAAACTAAGGCTAGCAGAGGTAAACTGACTCACTCATGGTCACTAAGCTGGTAAGGGTAAGAAACATGATCTAAACCTGATTGTTTCCAGCTCCAAATCCTGTGCTCTTCCTGCTCCCAAAAAACAACAGGGGAAAAAACTCTTGTCTCATAGTCCCAATATCTCTAAATGCCATGCCCACGTCAGGGCCCCGTTGATCCAGAATGCCTCCCTGTGCGAACCCTTGGCCCTGCTCTCCTGGCCCCTTTGGTAGGCTCTAAATCTCCTGCTGGCTAAAACTCAGGTAACCTTGGAAATGGAAAACAAGTCCACTATAGATTAGTGGTTTAAGACTCGACAAATCCAATGCCCGCCTGGGCAGGAACACTGCAGTGGAGAAATTCTTATGTGTCATAAGAGAGGAAAGACAGAATGAGACCTACTCCCCAATTTTTAAACAAGTTCTTGTTAAGCCTGACTTGCTCTGGAGGGGGAACAAAACAGCCTAGACAAGAAATAAGCTTCGCTGTCACTCACTGGCGTTCTATCCCTCTCCCTAGCCATTACCAATGCTTAATATTTATACAGAGGCCTTTGTAACCTAATTTCCTGTTGTGCCGAGCACATGCTGCTACCTCGCTGCAGCTGGTTGCTATAGAGATGTCGGTTACAGGATGCAGAGGTAGAAGCAAAATGGGACATTTTGAGTCCAGGCACCTGGGATGAGACAGAAATTAATTTGGAGACCCTCGAGTCAGGCTGCAGATTTCCATTTTAGCGGTTGGTCAGTGAGATGGAGGAGAGCTTCTGGATCTTTACTGAGAGAGCCCTGAGAAAAGGATGGCCAAGGCTTTTGCATTTGGTTCTGATGGGAGGCCATGTGAGAGAGGAGAAAGAGTAGCACTAATCTAGGGGGGAGTGAGAGGCTTAGACTCAGAGATATCCCCCTAGAAAGGACCCAGGCTCATAAGCCTGAATTTCAAGGAGACCATCTAGCACAACCCCTTCATTTTACAGAAAAGGAAACTGTGGCACAAGGAGGTTAGTTTCTTTGTTCAAGGTCACACAGGCTCTCAGACTCCACATTAAGCATTTGCTACACTGCCTCATATACTTCAAAGCCGCCTTATTTTACATCTGAGGAAAGTGAGTCACAGAGGGGGCAAGATTACTTTTTCCATGTCACATACATACTGGGTAGCCTTGCCTCTGTCACTAAATAACCATGTGCCTGAGGACAAGTCTCTTCCCCTCTCAGACCTCTAAGGTCCCTGCCAGCTCTGATGTTCTAGTTTGGACAAACCGACTAGTTAATGGTGGGACAACTAGGTTGCCTGGTTATATCCCAGTAAGTTTGATAGCTATTGGAATGGGAGGAGGAATAAAATGTTTATCTACTGATATCATATAGAATAGAATCCTACAGAATCCTTAGGTATCATTGAATCCTACCCACTGATTTGACAGAGAAAGAAAATGAGGCCCAGAAAGGGAAAGTCACTTGCCCACGAAAGAGCAAGGCAATAAAAAAGCAAGTAAAAGGTATAGCCAACCATGTCTTCTAAGTCTTAATCTAGTATTCATTCCATTTGGGGGTGGGGAAAGGGAACAAACATTTATTAAGCACCTACTATGTGCCACAAACTGAGCTGACACTTTACAACATATTTCTGTAAGAAAGGCCCCCTGAGTGTCCTAAAGCACATGTCTGGCCATGGCATTTCCTGCTCAGGAAGCTTCGTGGGCTTCCTACTGCCTCTAGGATAAAATCAAAACTCCTGTAAGTCAGGACTTAATGCAAACCTTTCCCAGTCTGACCTCAGCTGACTTTTCTAGACTGCCTGCTGCTTATTGCTTCAGCTCACAGACTTTCCACTTCTACCACACTGGCCTATCTGATGTACCCCATGTGGGACAATCCATCACCTTCCATCACACCTCTGCATGGGCTGTCCCTCGTGGCTAGAAGATTCTCCTGAGCTTCCATCAAGGCTGACTTCAGGTGCCACTTCCTACAAAAGGCCTTACTAGATTCTCCCCAGTGGTTGATGCATTTGAGATTACTTTATATTAATTTCTAGATATTTTATATTAATGAGGGGCAGTGTTAGGCAGCAAAGGCAGAGAAAGAGATTTGGCCTCAAAGCCAGGAAGACCTGAGTTCCAGTATCACCTCTGACATATTCTGGCTGTGTGACCCTAAACATGGCACTTAACTTCTCACTGCCCTCATCAACTCCCCAAAAGTCCGTGTTATAGAGAAGGTGCTCAATGGCATTGGTAAAGGGAGTTTCCTCACTTGGGAGTTCCCTATCCCAACAAAATTTCAGATCCAGTCCCTCTCCCTGTACTTTGTATTTACTCAGCTGTGGACATGATGTTTTGCCCCCAATAAAACACATACTCTTTGAAAACAAATTTCTTTTTGTCTGTTCCTAGAACAGTGCCTGACACATAGTAAGTATTTAACAAATGCTTATTCAATTCAATCAGGGGCAGCTAAGTGGCATAGTGCATAGAGCACTGGCCCTAAAGTCAGGAGGACCTGAGTTCAAATCTGGCCTCAGACCAAACACTTGACCCTTATTAGCTGTGTGACCCTGGGCAAGTCACTTAACCCCAATTGCCTAAAAAAACAAACAAAAAAATTGAATCAGTATAGCAAAAAGGGCATAGGTTCAACAGTCAGAGGACCTGGGTTCAAATCCTGCTTCTGATGGTCATTATCTGTGTGACTTCCCCTGGGCCTCTATTCCTCATCTGTAAAATGAGGCCCCTTCTTGCTCTACACCCCTAATTCAATGACATGAATTGAATCATGATTGCTAGTGATGGAGCTGCTTCCCTCAGTAACTGTGAAAATAGACATTTGGCTCACCTGACCTTTGGTTAAGGAGCCATTATCAGTTTCCTTTGCTGGGCCATTGGCATCTCTGTTTGGGAGGTGCAGAAGCTGAGACACTGACTCACCTGGGGAGCAAGGGGGCCGAGGTAGTGTTCAAGGTTATAATGACATGGTCTTGAAGCCATAGGACACTGTCCTTCCCTGCCTCAGCAAGGGGACTATTGGAAACAGCTGTTCAACTGTCTAGGCTCTGAGAATCTTCAAGGTGTTTTGTAAAGACATTTAAACCAACTGTTTGACTGGACTTCCCATCCAGTTAGGTAGTGCTGTAGATAGAGCCTCAGACCTGGAGTCAGGAAGACCCACATTCAAGTGAACTCAGATACTTAGTAGCTATGTGACCTTGGGCAAGTCGTTTAACCTCTGTTCACCTTAATTTCCTCATCTGTAAAATGGGGATAATAAGAGCATCTACCTCCCAGGGTTGTTGTGAGAATAAAAGGATGTGATATTCATATATCATTTGGCAAATTTTCTAACACTATATAGCTGCTAGTTAAAATGAGAAGTCCGCCCATTGGCTCATATCCGCTGATGAGGCTGCCCTGTGCCTGGAGGGCCAAACAGGACATTCTCACCATTTGCTTTCTGTTTTCCAAAGAGAAACATCACAAGAGTGACACTCTCTTCCTCTTCTAGTACCATATCCATGCGGAAGAGTTTCAGTTCCTCTCATTCTTAAGAAAATCACCCGTGCCGAAACCGTCTTCGCCGATATGGACAGTGCAAACTCTACTGAGGAGGACCAGATTGCAGATGAAGTCACACAAATCATTCCCCTCCATAAAGAAGTGACTCGCGTCGTTGGTGGAGAAGATGCCAGGAAGGGGCAGATCCCTTGGCAGGTACTGTACACCAAGTGGATGTGGCCTAACCCGAGAGGCTCTAGTGGACACAGGACCAGCCTTATAAAGAGATGGTAATTTGAGGGATGCTAGTGAAGGATTCCTCATTTCAAAACATCTTCCCCACCAATGTACAGGATTCCATCATTAGAGAGTCATTCTTTTGGGTGTTGATGGCTTTCAGGACGTGGGGAACGTGCTTATCATAGATCCTCTGGAAAGCAGAGAGCTTAGGTCTTTCAAAGTTGTTTTTCTTTATGCTGTTGTCCCTGGATGATTTGTTCTCCTACTCAGTTCAGGATTCTCTGAATTTATTTATTTTTTTGTCATTGTTTATGGTGCTCTAATATTCCATCACATTCATATACCACAATTTGTTCAGCCATTCCCAATTTCTAAGAGGCAATCTAGGGCACCTCCCTAAGGTTCTAATTCTTTTCCTTTCTTTTTTTCCTCCTTTTAATCCTCCCTTCAGAATCAGGAAATATGTTTTGCTTGTGACTTTCATGGTATCATTCTCCCTCTTAGCCTATGTAAGCCTATCTCTTTTGCTTTTTGGAATATTGCATTCCAAGATTTCAGTTTGCTTGTTTTTGTTAGAAGCTACCAGGCCTCATGTGATCCTGACTCCAGGGCCTTGCTGCTTAAACTGCTTCTTTCAGGATGTTTGCAGTATTTTTTATTTGATGTTAGAGCTCTGGATTTTGCCTATGATGTTCCTGGGGCTGTTATTTTTAGGGTTCTCTTTAGGAGATGATTGGTAGATTCTTGGTTTAGGAAGGACATTGAAAAGCTAGAGTGTCCAGAAGAGGGCAACTAGGTTGGTAAAGGACCTTGAGTTCATAAAATGTGAGAGTAAGTCAAAGGAACTAGGTATGCTTAGCCTGAAGAAAAGAAGGCTAGGGCCAGGGGGTGGTGACATTGAGGAGGCATGATAGCTATGGTCAGGTTTTTGAAAGACTGACAAGTAGACACTTCTTTTGCTTGGCCCTGAGGGAAGAACCATGAGCAATGGGAGGAAATTGGTGAAGAGGTCAAATCAGGGCTATATGTCAAGAAAAACTTCCTAATGATTAGAACTGTCCAAGAGTGATATGTTATACAGGGGTTCCTTCATGAATGGGTTGACCTACATAGCTGATAAGGTCCCTTTCAGCTATCAAATGCTTTGATTTCTGGGATCTCCATTTCACAAAGGAGGAAAGTGAGGCTCACCTTGGGGAAATAATTTGGCCAAGATTTCACATAAAGAGGCCTGTTCACTGAATGGGCGTTACCTCACTCAAATGGGCCAGGGTCTCCCATTGCATCCTGGATTGGAGTTCAGGTCTTCCTTCTTTCTATTGACTGCACCTATTGATAACTTGTAGGAACTCATTCATTGGATATGGAGGTTGACAGAGAGGGAAGAGTAGAGGATATTCCCTTTCCTATGGTAACAGCTATTTGGTGGTCCTCAAAGAAGGTCTTTCCAAAGGTGCTACAGTAGGGCACATCTTTCTACTGACGCTGCTTTGTATATACTTGGCTGTTATTTCAGTCAGTCAGCATTTATTAAGCACCTACTGTGTGCCAGGCACTGTGATAAGTACTGGGGATATAAAGAAAAGCAAAATACAGTCCTTGTCCTCAAGGACTTCACAGTCTAATTCCTTGTGTGCATGTTGTTTCCCCCAGTAGAATGGAAGCTCCCTGAGATCAGGGACTGTTTCAATTTTGGTTTTGTATCCCTAATGTATAGTACAGAGCCTGGCACATAGTAGGAGCTCAATAGAAGCTTACTGGATTTCATTCATTTCTTTATCACCAGAATAAAAGCCAAGGAGGAAGGGAGGAAGGAGAGAAAGGAAAAGAAGGAAAGGAAGGAAAGGAAAAGAAGGAAGGAAGGGGAGAAGAGGAAGCCAACCATCCCCACTGCAAGATAATTAAGCTTCAGTTTGAAAATATTACATTGTTGTGTAAGCCAAGCAACACGGGAAATGCTTGCTGGCTCACAAGGAATAAAACCCAGTGTTTCTGAGCCCCCAAGGAGATGACCCCAGGGTGACTCAGACCTTGCTGGAGCTAATTTTTCACACTTTTCCACCAAAGGACGGCTTTCTCATGTCTTGAGAAAGCAATGGATGTCTTGGCCAAGAACCTATCCTTCCTCCAAGGGGCAGACAGCCTTCTTTCACAAGGTTCACTCCTTGCTTGGACAGCTAACACTGCCCAGAGGGCAGCTTTGAGTTTACCAAGAGCAGGGGTTTCTTCTGGGTACAGTTCTTCTTCCTCCTGGCCACCATGTTTTCCCCATTTACCACTTTGTTCTGGAACCTCAACAGCCTTGACAAGACATTTCAATTTCACCATCACTGCAGACAGGGAAGGAGATTTGGGGGTGGGAGGTGGAACTCACTTCTACAGGCGCATTAGGATGTAGTGCAAAGAAGGCTGGAGCCAAGAAGACCGGGGTTGGAAACCTGAATCGACAGTATTGACTATGACACTAGTTGTGTGGAAATAGGCAAGCCCTTTCTTCTCTTGGAGCCTCAGTTTCCTCAACTGTAAAACAGAGGTAATCATATTTGTATTGCCTATTGTACCTCACAGGGCTCTAGTGAGAGCATGCTTGGCAAATCTTAAAACACTATTGAGAGGAGTTATTATTATTCCTTCCTTCACCTCCCATCTTTTCCTTTCTTCTTCTCTCCTCATTTTGTCTCTTCTCCCTTCCTATGTCTTCCTAAAGCTTCAAGTGGGGGGTGTCAGGGAGAGGAGACACTCACGGTTATCTTCAGAGTACCACATGTCCCACACACCGGGTGTGAGTGTGTGTGTGTGTGTAGAATGAGCTAAGAAGCTGAGAAAAAAGATAATGAGGCTTAGAGTGGGATCTCAAAGCAAAACCTGAGTAGGTCTGAGTTCCTTTTCCTCTGATTGATTGGGGCTCTAAAAGGCCAGTGGGACTCATGGCTGATCAGAACATCTTAAAGAATAATGATTAATAATAATAATAATAAATTATATGTATGTGTAGATGGGGGGGGGGGGAGGTGGAGAGAGACCAAAAGAAAAAGATAGAGAAAGAAACAGATGGAGACAGAGTTAGAAAAGGAGAGACAGAGAGATAAAGAGACACAAGCACAGAGAGAAATGGAGAGAAAAAAAAGGAAGACCAAGAAGAAGGCCAAGAGAGGAAGAGAAAGGAGGGGAGAAAAAGAGGAAGAAGACAGAAAGAGAAGGAGAAAGAGAAGACAGTAGATAGAGAATAAGTAGAAAGACCAGAGAGAGTGTCAGAAGCTGAGCCAGAAACCTACTGGTTGTCATTGGGGTGGCGTCCACCCAAAGCTGAACACAGTCCTTCCAATGAGCTTCAAAAACATGAGAGTACAGTGGGACTATCACCTCCCTCAATCTGGAAACCACTCCCCTCATAATGCAGCCTAATATTTCATTAGCATTTTTGGCAACCACATCATAATGTTGGCTCACACAGAGCCTGCAGTCTGCTAACACCCCTAAATCTTTCTTTCTAGGAAAGGCTTCTGGTAAGCTGAGCCATTCTGACCCTAGGTTTGTTCTGCTGGTTTTCTTTCTTTCTTTTTTTTTTAAATCTAAGTACTGAGCTTTACATTGATCTCAATTGGATTTCATCTTGGGACTTTGACTCTTCAGGCTGATCTGTCCAAATCCCCTAGAATCTTGAGTCTGTCATTCAATGAAGTGCGGAGACCTCCCTACTCTGTGCCATCTGCAAATATAATAATGGTACCTTCAGTGTCTGCATCTAAGAGGCTGATATTTAGCACCTACTGGTGGGGCACTGTGCTTTCTGGATGTCCCAATTGTTAGGACTTGTCTCATTGCCAGCAAAATTATTTGGCATTCACCTGTAGGTATTTTGTATTGACTTATTTATGTAACGATTATTTCCCCCTAGGAAAATTTTTGTTTGCCACATAAAGATTAATAATAACAATAATAATAATAATCATAGCTAGCATGTATATAGTGCTTTAAGATTTTTAAAGCTTTTACATGTTATTTTATTTGATTTTTGATTTTTTCTTTCCATATCCTGGGATGTAATTTATCTAGGTCAGGTGACTTGACTTCACCAAGGGCAGCTCTAGCACTCTCCTTGTAATGGGTATCTGCTCCCTCTTAGCCATGTTGGTTCTGTCTTTTTTAGTCCAAATGCCATTGTTCTTGGTAGAGAAAACCCAAGTAGAAGAAGAATTAAGTAGCTCTACTTACCGAGACTCCATCACGTCTTATTTTCCTCTCATTCACCCTGAGCAGCGGCCCCATCTTTTCTCTAATGAGACATCAAATGTTACTGGAAAAGCACTGAATTTGGAGTTGGGAGACCAGGGTTCAAATCCTGACTCTGTGATTTACTGCCAATGTAACTTCGGTCAAATCATTTCTCCCTCTGGGCCTCAGTTTCCTCATCAGTAAAATGACGGTCTCAGAATTTCCTTCCAGGACTAGATGCAGGGTTCTTTTCGTTTCCCTCATATGGCTTAAAAATTCTTGTCTATTGTTCTCAGCTTTCCTCTCCAGCTTTATCTTCTACCCAGCCTGAGCATTCCTGCCAGGATTCGTACAGGATCTTGACATGCATCTATACTCATCCATGACCTGCCCTTGCTCTCACCTCCAAGGCATGTCTTTTTAAAAATCTGAGTCGCAGGGGACAGCTAGGTGGCTCAGTGGATAGCATGCTGGGCCTGGGCCTGGGGTCAGGAAAATCTGAGTTCCAATCTGGCCTCGGACACTTACTAGCTGTGTGACCCTGGGCAAGTCACTTCACTTCTGTTTGCCTTAATCCACTGGAGACTGAAATGACAAACCACTGCAGTATCTTTGCCAAGAAAACCCTATGGACAGTATAGTCCACGGGGTCACTGAGAGTTGGACATGACTGGACAACAAAATCTTTAAAAGAAATTTCCTGTTTAAATGATGAATTGAAAAACCAACAAACATGAACATGTTATCAATGGATAACAAAA